GCAATTGTTCAAAAAAATTTCAAACTTTTATTTCAAAATGTTAGTTTTGCCGTAGGCTTCCTCCGTTCACATGTTTCACCCTATTTTTTCCCGACGTTAAAAAGGTTATTCAATATATAAATATATATATATATATATATATATATATATATATATATATATATATATATATATATATATACTGTCCCTCAGCTGAGATGGGCCTGAGTTTCCCATTCCTCGTATTAGTGTAATAGAATAGAATTTAACAGAATATTATTTATTCAATATAGATTATAAATAATACTTTTTTATATAGAATAAGGGTGACAAACGAGCACACAGTCCATTTGATGCGTTGTCACCCCTGAGGACTAAGATAGAATGCGTCGTTTCCAGTAAAAAAGGGTCTCCGTACACTAATCGTACGAAACACAGCAATATTAAACTACTGTTTTATGCTGGTATTCTGTGAGAGCGTGGTCTTTCCCCGGTCGAACCGATGTATTCGTGCTACAACCATAATATAGCCGCGTGGCTCTACCAAATATAAAAACTTGTTGATGGTCATTTTTTAATTTTACCACTGGTGCAAAAAAATCCCATCTCCTGATTTGTCTCCCTCTGTCGCCTCTTACGACATCCACGGGATGATATATGGATGTTCTTATACTGCTACTACACAGAGATATTCTTATACTGCTACGGCAGAGATCAGAGTCGAAGGTGAGAGACGTCTGGTACTGCGATTCTTCATTTGCCTGCTTACCGTGACGATGAAGACAAGGGGAAAGGCCAGCTGAGGACATTTTAGACTGATAAATAATCATCAGCCTCAGATTTACTAGGAGTTTTCTTCCTCGTACAACTTCTCTGTGGAAGAATTTTACCACCGGCGATTTTTGTGGACCGATACTACTTATGGACTTTCAAGAAATGAGCTTACTCTTTCTAAAAGGCCGGCAACGCACCTGACCCATGCCCCAGGTGTTGCGGCTCTTTATGGGCGGCGGTGGTTACTTACCATCTGGTGAGCTGCATGCTCGTTTATATATTTTTTTGTTAACGTTGTAGAGCCATACTGCAGCTTTATCGTGGTTATATCACGAATGTGTTTGCACGCTTTCACAGAATACCAGCGTAAAATAGCAGCTGTGTTCCATATGGAGAGTGTAGAGATCAGGTGACCCTTTTCACTGGAAACGAGGAATACCATCTTAGTCCTCAGGGGTGGCAACGCATCTGCATTTTAATTCGTAATCGAGGATGGATGTAGATGTTTTGGAACACAGCATCCACTTACCATTAAGTGTACTCGTTTGTTACTGTTATTCTATGGAAATAGGTATAACAAAAAGCAATACTAATAAATTAACAACTTGCATATAGTATCACACAATAACCATGTTGGTATCTATATCTACATTTCTATAGATTCTATTGTAGGTTGAACAATACTCAACCTTGCAATATTAGCACCTATTGAGTAGTCACTCACACAGCATTGTAACTGTTAGTGGAGAATTAAAAGTATCCTGATTGACTGTGTTGTGTTACTTTTAGGTGTATTCGTTTAAGTAGCAATTTGTTAAACTTGTACGTAACTTTGGTGTCCTACTGCCTTATTAATAAAAATTGCTTATTCCAAGCTTAATTCGAAGTTACACTTGGACTAGCTAATCTCAGAGTAACTGACTATTTACTTCGTTATTACAATGTTATTAATAAGCATGGAGTAACCTCGGACTAACTATACATTCCTTACGCCGGGATTAAGGCTTGCGCTATGGCAACCCACTTATTTTAAAAGTAAAAAGAGTGATTCAGTGAATGATTAGTGAATTAATTCAGTGCTTGATGACATTAATGACAGTGACAGGCAATATTTTGAGTTTGACAAGAGATAAGTGTTACGGGTTGTTCCTTGTTCTTCGTGTTGTTTTCGGACTCGGTGGAAAAACTAAGTGCTAAATATAATCATTTTCAATATTATTTGCGAAATTTTAGAATTAAGAAAAGAGCGTGAAGGGCAAAATTAATCATATAACCATTTTTGTTTTGTTTTTTGGGGATAAATAAAATCTTTCGTACATGTCATTATTGTGTATTTATTTAAAAAAATCGTTAATAAATGCTGCCCGAACAGAATTTCCTCTAACGGAGTTATTTACTAATTGTGTGACTGATGTATTTTCATTTCCTTATATTATATCCTCAAGCAGATCTTGCTTTTGCATTGTAATGTATATAGTTTTGTATGCTCTTATTTAGTATTTAGTCCTCGCAGTAAACACTGAAACCTTTGCTTCCCTCCAAAGCATTGTTCTACAGTGTAACGGGGCCACCAGATATGCGACCGGTTGTACATTCTTCCTTTTGTTTATTAGGACGCAGGATAAGACTCCGACTTCCGACTCTTCCATACACTTCTGCAACATAAATTTTTTTTGTCACTCTTTCCTCATTCACTCTTTCTACATGACCAAACCACCGAAACATTCCTTTCTAAATCCTGGTCACAGCATCATGTTGCAAACCACATTCTTCTTCTATCACACAATTTCTCACCCAGTCAGTCAGATTTAACCCTAGCATACTCCTTAGTGACCGCATTTCTACTACATTTATTCTACTCTCGTGCTTCTTCTGCCACACCTATCTTTCACCACCGTACGTTAAAGTAAGGACTAACACAGCATTATGAATTGACATACGTGCCTTTTTTGACACATTCTGACTTTTCACAATAGATTGTAGAGCCCCATTTACTTTATTTCCTGCGTGTCAACGCAAAAAAATTAAAAGAATTAAAAAAATCGAAAACATGTGAACTCCGCCGAACACACATTGAGACAGCGCGGCAGACACTTCCTTGCCGTAACACCCTCTCAGAAGTGAGAAGAGGTATATGCCCAGCAGTGGGATCGTACATAGGCTGTAACTTTACTTTACTTTACTCTGTTTTTTGTTGGCCGAGGTTTTCCGAATAAAAAATAGTAAGATTAATAAATATTTTTTTTATTTAAACTACTTTTACGGACTTTATCGCGTTTAATTTATTTGACTTTTAATTACCAACGTTTCGAGTGCTTTTCAACACCCATGGTCACGAGGGACTTGATAAAATCCGGAAAAGTAGTTTTAATTAATAAATAAATCATTTTCTACAATAGATGGCGCTAACTCAATACGGATGTTAAAGCTTCAACTTTTTTTGTAACACAACTCTACGCTTAGCCAAAGAGATCAGGCGCAGGACCAACGGTTTTACGTGGTTTATGGACCAAATATTTGGTACGATCCGTGGTTACAATGCGTCGGTTTAGACCATAGAATACTATAATACATAGTATTCTATGGTTCAGACTGATCGAAACGACGGATGTGTAGTGTGTTACGATCTTTAGCAAGTTACTTGATCGCAGACGACATCGGAGACCGCAACAAAAGGCAATCTTGAATATCGTAACGATAAATACACACTCGGTGTATGGATCTTTGCGATCGACGAGGTAGGTACGTCGATTCCGTCATTCTCATATAATTGTGCCAGTCTTTTGGTTGCAACTTCAAATCCTTTAAAATATTTATATGCGAATATTGATGTCGTTTTAATAGCCACTTTTTAACCCACAATTTTTTACGTTTTCTTTCTTTATGTAGCCGGATTAAATTTACCGCCAATTAGGCATAGAAAAGAAGCTCATTTTCCATTTTAAATATGGCCAGTAATTAATTATTCGGATTTTTGTCGGTAATAGCACGTCTTTTTCATTCCGTTTCAAACAAGTAGATGATCGATTGCAGCGACCAATCGTTTCGTGTGTGAACGGTAAGCTTTGAGCAGTCTATCATCACGATATCCTTTCAGATGTATCGTTCCGTATATGGGGCCCACGCTGGAGCTAAATCACGACTACTCTCGTGAATCACTTATAACCAAAATACTTCAACCTAACTTGGAGAGGTTTGCGGGAATATTAGTAATAGAAAAGAATAAAATAGATCAAAATAATTTTTATTTGATTTTTTTTATAGGATGGGGTGACAAACGAGCACACAGTCCACTTGATGATAAGTGGTTGCTGCGCCCCATAGAAATTTACATCTATCCTCGATTACAAATCAAAATGCAGATGCGTTGTCACTCGTGAGGACTAAGATGGAATGCTTCGGTTCCAGTAAAAAGGGTCTCCGGTTCTCTACACTCACCATACGAAACACAGCAGCATTAAGCTACTATTTGACGCTGGTATTCTGTGAGAGCGTGGTCCTTCCCCGGTCGAGCCGACCCATTCGTGCTACAACTATATACTAATATAACTGCAGCATGGCTCTACCACTTTGAAAAACTGTACTATAACTATACAATATGTAACGTTAAGTGCGTTATCAGAATCAGTATTCTAACGTATAGAAATAACTTTACTTCAGAAAACTCGACCATTAAATTTTTTTATTAAATTAAAATAAAATTTTATTTGCAAATTTTATGTTGTTTTATTATTTCTAACTGATACGCGCATTGATAGCGAGGTCTTGTACAATCCTTTTACTCCCCGGACAATGCAGAGAAATAAAACCACATACAATTTGCAAATTAAAATTTATTTAAATTAAATTTAAAAAAAATATAGTCGAGTTTGCTAAAAAAAAGTTATTTCCATACATTTAAATACTGACTCTGTTAACGCACTTAACGGGGACTACAGGGTTTTTGTTACATGTTGTATATTTTTTATTGAAAGTCATTTTCCAACAAATAACACATGTTTTTAAGGAAAATTTTACAGTAAAACTCAGGTTGTACAAATTACGTACAAATCTTATAACAACAGCTTGGAAGCGACCACCTCATTGCTGGGGGTAATCATCAACCATATATTCATTTCTATAATAATAACCCTTTTTATACAGTCTTTGTTAAATAAAATGTTTAAATAGCAATGTTATTAGCATTGCTGGTAGGTTTTTCATATTTATAAAAAAAATTACATAAAACCTTTTTTTCTGCCCTCCAGCCTCAACCGACAGTGACGCCAAGGCCCCAACCACCACGCCCGTACTTACCCCCTGTTACCACTTCCCCTCCGTTCGGGCCCCAGCCAGGACCAAGACCTACACCGGGACCCAGACCGAAACCTAGCCCAAGACCGCAACCTACGCCCCACGATGTGAGTACCCAACTTTATTTTAAAATATCAAACAAATTCTAAACTATAATATGATTGTTTTTTAAAAGCTAAGTTGTATGAATTTATAGCAACAACAAGCACCAGAGCTTCACAACCTCGCAAAATAACAACATAATTATGCTGTGTTACCCAAATTTAGTAATCTTCACACAATTTATTACTGTCTACTCCTCTCCACCGTTCTGGGTTGATGTCAAATTCTTTCATAGTAACTTCCATCTCCCACCGGAACAAATTGCCTGTTGACCTGCGAATAATATCTGCCAAAAACGTTTTTAAAAGAAAACTATACTACGATGAAAAGTACTCGGCCTAACCAAGAAAATAAATCCACATACTAAATCAGTTATATTTTTATTTTTCTACATAATCACCATCAAGTTCAATACACTTTTGCCACCTCCCCTTCCAAGCATTTAGACCGTTGAAAAAAAAATGATTCTTCCTTAGAGTCAAAATATGCGTCTACAGCTGCTTTGACCTCGTCGTTTGTCGAAAATCTTTGACCTCCCAAGTGCTTTTTTAGGTTAGGGAACAGAAAGAAGTCTGATGGTGCCAGATCAGGTGAATACGGCGGATGCGGTAACAGTTCAAAGCCACAGTTGTGAATTTCAGCCATTGACTGTACAGACGTGTGAACACGGGCGTTATCTTGATGAAACAGGACTTTTCTTCTGAGCATTCCTCGACGTTTTTCTTTTATTTCCTCTCGTAAACGATGTAGTAAGGTGCAGTAGTAATCAGAGTTTATAGTCTGACCCCTTTCAAGATAATCAATCATAATCACACCTTTCGAGTCCCAGAATACTGAAGCCATCACCTTATTTGCCGACAAAATCGACTTAGCCTTTTTAGGGGGTGGTGAACCAGGTCTTCTCCACTGTTTTGATTGTTGTTTTGATTCCGGTGTACAGTAATGAACCCATGTTTCGTCCATAGTAACAAAACGATTCAAAAAATCATCTGCATCGGCTTCAAATAACTCCAAACAGTCGCGTGAAATAGTCAATCGCGTCCTTTCTTGTTCAACTGAAAGCAGTCGCGGAACCCACATCGCAGACACCTTGTGGAAACCCAACTCGTTGACAATGATGTTTTGAGTTCGTTCATAAGAGATGCCTATAATCTCGGCTATCTCTCTAATTTTTAATCTGCGGTCTCCCATTATTAAATCAAGTACTTTTTTAATATTTTCGTCAGTAGTTGACGTCGAAGGCCTTCCAGAGCGGGGTTCATCTTTCACACTCTCTCTACCACGCTTAAATTCTGCTATCCATTTTTTGACGGATGAATATGACAGAGCACAATCGCCTAATGTACTGACCATGTCATCATGGATGGTTTTTGATGATAGCCCCTTCTTAGGTACTTAATGACGGCACGCTGCTCGATTTGCTCCATTCGCGGAAATTATGTCCGATTACTTTGTTAATAAATTTATAAAATCACAACTAATTATCGCACACGTTTCGAACTTCACACAATCAACTAGTCTGAACTGAACTAAATAATGTGGGTAGATTTGATTTTTAGAATTGAATGGATCTGTGTTAGGCCGAGTACTTTTCAATCCACCCTCGTAATATATCCGTAACCAACAAATTTGAGCCCTGTCCATAACTCACTCTCTGTTCTACCCAAGGTTAGCTGGTAGAGAATGCCATATAGTATTAAGCTCGCCTTTTGTACAAAATCTTTGGTGCAATAAAGAATAAAATAAATAATATGAACCGGTTAATTGTTTTATTAATAATGAGCCATTCCATCAGTTTCCTGAAGTGTGATAACTCGTTTCATTATTTTTTGAGGTGATGATGGAAAATGAGGGAAATTGAGGGAATATGGATTTATGAAAATATATAAACTTTGGGTAGAGAAGATATACATCGCAGTGTTGCGTCAAAAGGTTGGTACCTACTCTGTCGGAGTCTTAGGCAGTTCTACTACTTTGTAAATGAGGGTAGGATAAAATTAAAATTCAGTCTTTATAGCATACACTTTCTCCAATTTCAGAGACGGTTAAAGAGCAATTAGACCTGTTCTGATATTGTGTTGGCGGGCTCACATGTACTATTATGTTATTCCTCGGATATACAAGTCGCTTCTTATGTTTTCCTTTACTACTGAGCACGTGGTAAATCAGTACTTAAAATAGTAATTAACAATTTCATTGGTGTCGGATTCGCACCCTTGTTGCTTGCATACTGTGAAATTCACGGCGAGCGCTTAGGCACTGAAATACCACTCCTGGTTATTATACACGACTTCTAGAGTTGAAATCACGTTGTAGTATTATTTCGAGACAGAAGGGATCATAACAAGTCCATCCACATACTAGCGATTTAGCTTTTTGTACGCTGCAGATATATTATGGTTGTAGCACGAAAGAGCACGAATGGGTTGGCTCGACCGGGGTAGGACCACGCTCGCACAGAATACCAGCATAAAATAGCAGTTTAATGCTGCTGTGTTTAGAGATCTAGAGAATAGTGTAGAGATCTGGAGAATCTCTTTGCTGGAGGCATTCCATCACAGTCCTCTGGGTTGACGACGCATTTTCGTTTTATTTCCTAACTAGTTGGCCCGGAAGATGCTGTTCTGCCCTTTCTGGTTGGTGGCACGATGGTTTTCATTTCCACACACATACCTACTTATCTATAGATTTATTATATGTATAGCTAAATCCTCTTTAAGATAAAGAGAACCATCGGCAACCATAATGACAATAAGCCTTAAAAAAAAAGGAAAAAATATCGCTTTAATTTTTCCGTAAGCGAAAAAATAAAAGTGCCTGTATATTATATACGGTAATTTACTGCCTACATATAAAATTTCATGCAAATCCGTCTAGTACTTTTTCCGTGAATCGCGAACATACATTTTTGCCACAGATTTGTTATATGCATAGATTAAGGTTAAATGTAGATGTGTACTTACCATCAGGTGGACTGTGTGCTCGTTTGTCATCCTTATTCCATTTAAAGTATCCCCAGCCCAGATAGCTTCGAAGCTTCCTGGAAATGTGTCCGCGATCTTGAAACTAAACAGGAGAAGGAGACGAAAAAGGGGGTCTATGTCAAGTGGTCCTTATAAAAAAAAAACGATTTATTTTTTAATTTATTCATCATCTACATAATGATCTGGAGGTTTTTGTGTCGGCGGCGGAATGTACACGGCCTTTGTTGCGTTCCCTGAAAAACGTAAAAATTATGTATCAAATATTAAAACAATTAGTGATAAGGACCGTGTAGTGGTAGTGTAAGAATATCCACTAACCCACATCATCCATCATTCAAAGTTTTGTTTTTATTTTATTTTTGTGAAATATCAGTGCGATAGGCTTGTGCTCCGTTCACATTTTACACCCTATTTTTTCCAGACGGTAAAAAACATAGAATACTATAATACAATAGAATGGCTGTCAAACTGTACGAGATTCACTTTACTACACAATTACGTCGTATTATAACTACTACAAACCCGATTCGCTGTTTTGACAGACTGAGTAAATTTACACATTTTAGACTTTTGATTAATGTTCAAAATCATCATTAAAATCGTTTAAATTTTAATACATATTTATATGTAAATAGCGTGCAATTGCGAAATTTAGAAACGATTGTTACGTCAAAACAAATCTCGTGTTGACAGTTATACGTGTGAATTGACATGTTAGTGACATTTTAGTGGCTACACGGGCTCCGCACACTCCCCCGTTTTCTTATGTATGTATTATAGTATTCTATGGTAAAAAGAGGTCATCAATATATTAATAGAATTGAAGTGTCTGTGTTTAATATTGATAAAACTGGGCATATATTAAGCGCTGGGGGTTATTTTGATGCTACTAAGATATAAATAACCATTTAAAAAAATCTGTATATTATCTGTTTGTCTGCCCGGCTCCACACTGCAGCTATATTATAATTGTAGAACGAATGGGTCGGCTCGACCGTAGTAGGACCACGCTCTCACAGAACAACGTTAAATAGCAGCTCCATGCTACTGTGTTTCATATAGTGAATGTGGAGAACCGGAGACTTTTTTTACTGGAAACGAGGCATTTGATGCGTTGAGTCCTCACGGGTGTCAACGCATTTGCATTTTAATTTTTAATCGAGAATAAATGTAGATCTCTATGGACCACAGAATACACTTACCATCAGGTGGAATGTGGGCTCGTTTATCCCCCTATTCTATAAAAAATATTCCCGACGTTTCGGGTGTTTTACAGCATCCGTAAAATTTGTTTCATTTTATGTGTAGCATCAGAGTAAATATAAGAAATATATATATATATATATATATATATATATATATATATATATATATATATATATACGGTAATAGTGTAAACACCGTTGTCCTTGAAACCAGTGGTTTGGTTTCACTTCTAGAACGTAAATTCAATGAAAAATAAAATTTTTTTTTAGTAAAATTTTGTTATTTTTTATTGAATTTTTTTCCTTAATTCCTCAATTTTTTTAGAGTTTCGAGGATAACAGTGTTTACACTAACAACCAGTATTTATATATATACAAAAAGTATCCATATTTTCTATTCAAGTTCAAATATATAAACAATGATATACCGTTATTGCAGTTTTTGAAAACTAGTAAATAAAGCTTCTACTTTTTTGAAATTATCCCAACGTGAATGTAATTTATGAGCAATGTATATATGCACGTGCTTCAGGGGGAGTCGCGCGACAAGGTGTCTAAATTTATAACCGAGTGACACTTACGAATGTGTGCGTGCGTAGTAAAATAGTAGGCGTTAGATATTTATGAATGACAATCAGTTAAAATAATACATTACCGTGCATTCTGAATTTAAAAGACAATAAGAACACATTGTTTCAGATTTTTTTATTAAGTTTTCTTCACCATTCACGTATATTACTTATTTTGAACCTCCTCTAAAAGTTTGAGCATATAACCCTGTATAATCCAGCAGCTGCTACTAAAAATTTCTTGACG